TTATTTCAGTGAAGAGCTCTATTCCTATGAGCCAGAAATTCTACTTAACCAATTACACCATCTGTATCTGCACTAAGACACATGCTACTTTACTTCCTCATCTACCTCCTACAATGGTCATATGGGTCAATCTTGCAGATGAAGAAGTGACCTATTTATTTTAGATGGCAGGGTCAAGATTTGAACTCAGATTTAAGTTGACATTGCAATCCAGGTTCTCTAATTCATTTTCATGTGCTATAAAGGTAGGGTTGCTTTAAGACCCAGTAGAAGTTGGTGAAAACTGTTATGTTTTAAAGATAAACATGACACGAGTTGCTAATTCAATTCATACCAAAACTGACTTCCATGCTAACATAAAGGCCAAAAAAATGACTACTCTTACTTCTTGATCCTTTGTCCTTGTTACATATGGCCACCTGAGTCTCTAGCCCTCTGATTTAGTGTTCTGCTTCCTTATTTGTGTGACTGTGAGTGATTTGCCCCAGGTGTGTCTCCTGGGTTTTGCTGTTCTTGAGCACTCAGTTGCCTAGATTCCTACACTCCAGTTCTTGGCTGCAGCAGTCGTAGCAGCTGTGCTCTCCCAACACTTCCTTGGCATTTCAAGTGCTGACCTTTACTCAGAAGGTCCAATACTCATCTAGCAACCGTAAACTGCCATTTGGTTTCTAAGGAATGTATCAGTCACTGCAAAAGTATCACTCACTGAAATTGCAAGTATAATCTATAGTGTGTTTCTTGGCCTATTATTTTTGGCATTTTCCTATATAGCTTGCAAAGCTCAATGTTGCTCTAGTTTACCTAAAAGTCAGCCTGACCTGGTAGAAAAATGTGGTAAACTGTTGCTCTATACATTCTCTTTTGTAGTCCTACTCCTTTTCTTTTTCGATTTTTGCAGATATTTGGAAACTGCATGCTGCTGTACTCTGGTATTTCTGGATCTCAGTTAGTTTGTTGTCACTTGTTCTCTTTGAATCCCTACCTTAATATTAAGTGATGCACTATAATTCCTGCTGGGACTTCTTATTCTGGTTACCTATTACAAAGTACCTCAATAATGAAATTCTTCAAAGCAGTAATTTTCATTATTTCTGGTGGATTTGTACATTGGGTCCGGTCAGATTTGGGCTGGTGATTCCACTACCTTGCAAGACACTGAGGTCAGGCATCACAGACTCGTGTGTCTGCTGCCTTTGCAGGCTGGGCAGGGGAGCAGAACTCATTAAGACTGAGGGCCATAGTACCTGCCCATTCCCTCTCTAAGAGGAACTTCTCCATGTATTTGAGTTTATGAAATAAAATCACAGTTCCTAAAGAGTATATTCTCAAAAGCTATGAAACTTCTTGTTTCTCACATGCTTGGCTGTACATCACTGCTGCTATTTTCCTTTAGTAACTGCAGTCAAAATCCCTCCCACAGTCCAGGGGAAGTGGAATAGATTGCACTCATTGCTGGGACGACTCCAAAGTTCTGCGGCTGTCTTTAATCTGCTTTACTTCCTATTTCCCTCCCAATATGAGTATGTGTGTTTCTATTCTTAAACTGAAACCTGACTCAGTTGACAGTAATTATAAAAATCCCTCAGTTAATTTAATTGTTTTTCACTTAGTAATGCACTTTATTTCCTTATTACTTAGTTGAGTATCGCTAGATGCAGAGAGACCACAAAGCAGTATAAAAAGTCATTTTTAAATTATGGATTTTTTCCATCTGGCTTTGAGTGCTGTTTCTGCCCTTTGTAAATGATGATATCTAAAGTATCTTATTTCAGCCACCATGTCCTATTTGGTAGACTGAATACATAATGCATTATGTAGATGTTACAAATACCAAATGAGGTAATTATATAAAATGCTAAGCATCGTGCTTCATACCCATAAGTGCTGTAATAAAAGTCATGTCTGAACCTGAATTAACCACTTAATATAACCATATATGCTCTTTATATGGCTTTGTACTCTATGTAATTAATAAACTGGGTAATTGATTTTTATTATAGTTATGGCTTGTCACAGTAAGATGGTAGAGATCAAAATCATGAAAGGGAAAAGCTACATAGAGGGAGAACCAAGAGAAATCAGGCATGAGCTTCCAGACATCTATCTCTTCACTGTGGAGTAACTCAGACACATTATTAAGATAAACTTATCTGGACATGCTGGAATCACATGGCCAAGGACTAAGGCTTACAGCTGCATTCTTATCAGGCCAAACTTTCCAAGGCTGCAAAGATTATCTGTTAGGAATATAAAGAGAAGACTTTCTATGGATTGTCGGTTTGAAGTAAATCAGATTGTGAAGTTCACCCTTTCCTTACCACATGCTCATTGTGAGATGCTAGGAACCGGTGGAACTGATTGCAGGCCGTGCACTAACTGTGTGTCATTCTCATTTCTTTCATACATCTAAAATCATCTTTAAAATTAAGATTAAAAACTCAAATTTCAGTGGGAACAATATATATAGTTGATATATATTTAGGCTCACAGTGATTTAGCATTTGCCTTTGAGATGACTTAAATGAAAGAGATTGTATCATCAGAGATATTGCTTAAGTACCTCGACCAGGAACTTTAAAATTTCTTTGCATTTAAAAAATTAAACTTTTTCTTAACATCAGTTTCATTTATAATTCATAAGAGCAAAAAAATAGAAAACAAAAACCCACCTACCGACCCATGAATGTAAGTGAAATGGAATGCTATTTGGTCATTAAAAATATATCTATATAGTGTTGATATGTGCTACCGCATGAATGAAAACACCATGGTAAGTGAAAGTAGCCAGCACATATGCCGCCTATTCTATGATTTATATGAAATGTCAAGAATAGGCGACTCTGGAGACAGAAAGTAGATTTACAGCTACGGGGGAAAATGGAGGTGGCTGAAAAATGGGGTGGGTTTTCTTTTCATAGTGACAGAAATGTTCCTGATTTAGTGGTAGCAGTTGTATAGCCTTATAAATATACCAAAACTCCCACATTATACATTTTAGAATAACTTTATGATACATGAATTATTTTGTAATTTTACACAACTGGCCTTCTCACAAATTATCAGGTTAAATTTACAAATGTCTTGTGTAGTACATGGAAAGACATATCCTATGTATTTTAAATAAATTCTAATGTATCTCAGAGCTCCCTGTATCCTTTCTTCAACTCCTTGTTCACTCCATTCCTCAGCCTACAATTAAGGAGTATAATAAGATTAAGATGCTAGAAACACTCTTCTCACACTTGTCATAGCACTGTCACAGAAATGAAATTGTCATTATGATTACCATGTCCTATTGGATATTCTGTGAATAAAAGAAATTGAATAGCCTAGAGTTTACTTTTAATTTTGCCTTAAATGTGAATAGAACCCAATAGATGGATTTCTTCCCCACTCTGGTTTACATCTTCATAAATGATTGCTATTAGTCAAGCAATAAAAGCTTGACTTAATTAAAACCAGCAGGTTTGGGAAGTTGTTTTCTTCTTTTGCAAAGTTACATAATTGTGTACAACCAGTGATATGGTAATATTGAAAACTCCTGATGGAATTTGATTATGCAAATTATGACAGATGTTTTATTACTCTAACAGTGATAGTTTTCTTCACATGAACTACAATATCATAGTATCTTTATTGATGTTTTCATTTTTAATCAACTATATCTCAAGTTTCGCTGATAGCAATCCATTCTGTGAACTTATTAAATGATGTTCATGTTATACATGTAAAGTGGCTTTGAGTAGCTGGTTTTTCTTCCAAGCACGAGGATTTAAGTATTAGTATTTCAACAAAAAATGAATTAATTTTAAGTACATGGATGTATTTTAGACATTTTACGAAAATCTTTTGGTTTCTAATGGTAATAATCAAACTGATGTATCTGTGGACTACGAGGTAATTAACTAAAAGCAAGTTAACTAGAAATATCTTTAAAGACAACAATGTTTATTTCCATTTCCTGACTTTAGAATTTTAAGGTCATTTTACTTAAGCTGAGAAAAGTTGAATTTTATGCCTAAAATATATATATTCATATTATAACCCAATAAATTTAATTTTCTATTGAGGTTCTTAAAATATAAGTTGTATTTCTAGTAAATGCTATAAAAATTAACCATTATCTATTTTTATAGGTTTCACGCAAATCTCTTAAATCATGATCAAATTATCCTGATTACAGTGAAATCTCTCAAGAAGTAAGGTATTTCAAACATGAAGCTCAAGAAAATTTGAAGTCTGAATACAAACAAGTAAAATCATTTTTGCTAAATCATGACTTGATGTGATATTGGGCTAAAGAAAATGCCAAACCAGTACATTTTCATTTGGATGAATGTAGGTGCACATGTATTAAAATATACTAAATAGTAATTACACTGTGATTTTCAATGTATAATAATTAAAGTTGAAAGCAGAGCAAATTTCACTTTCAATTTTGTATTAATGTTACCTCTCTTTTCATGCTACCTTTTTTTTCAATTTGAAATTCACCAATCTTTTCTTAAATATAGAACATATTACGGTTTGAATAGCAAATGAAATGAGTAACATAAATATTAAAGCAAAATGCATTTTCACCCTAGAATTTTTACTTTTCCGTTGTATTTACTTTTCTATACACTAAAAATATTGGGTTCAGTAACACTGAAAATGACCTAGTCTATTCCTTGCCCTGTTAAATGTTGTTTCACTGGGAAATAGTCAACACTAACAAGCTGCAGGTACTATGTAACAAGACTATTCTTTAAAATGATATGAAGCTAAACAGACCTAGCATGGCAAATATTTGGAAGAAGTTGTTTGTCCTATTGTAGACTGGAGGGGAGAGAAAGACAAAGAATGATAAAATGAAGATGTGTTCTGTGCTGGCTCCCCACAAGAAATTCAAACACTAAATACATGTGTGCTAATAAAAAATGTGAAAAAAATTAAGTCAACCATACCAAACGATTAACAGTATAGCACTTTAATGCAATATGCAATTGAACATCTTTAAACTGAGTGTACACCTTTGGATAAATTTTAATAACTTATTAATCTATTTCAATACAATCTTACAAGGTTGCTCTTTGTATTCCCTTAACGTTTCCGAAAGCTGACTGTAGACTCCTACTCAAGATTTACAACACATTTGCATATGTGTTTAACTGATGGACTTAAACTTGATCCACTGATTCGCACCGCGCACTTCAAACGGAGGAGTGCTGCTGTAGATGTGGTGGCCTAACACATCCAGAGACGGTTCCGCATCCGACGTGGCAAACTGGGCCGCCTCCTCCACTTCCTTCTTCACTTCGGCATTGATCTCCTTCAGCTCCTCCACGCTGCTCAGCTCGCTGCTCACCATCCTCTCCTGCAGAAGCATGATGGGGTCGCTCTTGCTGCGCATGGCCTTCACCTCCTCGCGGGAGCGGTAGCTCACGCCCGGGTCACTCATGCTGTGGCCGTGGTAGCGGTAGGTCTGCAGCTCCAGCAGCAGCGGGCCCCGCCCGGAGCGGCAGTGCTGGGCGGCGAAGCGCGTGGCCTCGCGCACGCACAGCACGTCCATGCCGTCCACGCGCAGCCCGGGCAGGAAGTGCGCCCGCGTGTAGTACTCGGTGGTGGCGGCCGCGCGCTCCGCCGACGTGCCCATGCCGTAGCGGTTGTTCTCGCACACGAACACGCAGGGCAGCTTCCACAGCGCCGCCATGTTGTAGGCCTCGGCGATCTGGCCCTGGTTGGCCGCGCCATCACCGTAGAGCGTCAGGCACACGGCGCCGCTGCCCAGGTACTTGCAGGCCAGCGCGACGCCCGCGCCCAGCGGCACCTGCGCGCCCACGATGCCGTTGCCGCCGTAGAAGCGCGGCGCGTACATGTGCATGGAGCCACCCTTGCCCTGCGCGCAGCCGCCGCGGCGCCCGGTGAGCTCGGCCAGGATGGCGCGCACCGACAGGCCGCGCGCGAAGCCCACGCCGTGCGCCCGGTACGACGTGATGACGTGATCCTCCGGCGCGATGCCCGCCTCCAGCCCCACGCAGCAGGCCTCCTGCCCGTCGCACAGGTGGCAGAAGCCGCGGATGAACTTCTGCTTGTACAGCTGGTCGGCCTTGAGCTCCATGCGGCGCACCGTCTGCATGCTGCGGTAGTAGCGCAGCGCGTCCTCGCGGCTCAGCTCGACCGAGGACGGAGGGCCCTGCTCCAGTCGGTAGAGGTCGCAGGGCTTGATCGCGAAGGTGGCGGCCTGGGAGAAGCTGCGGAGCGCCCGGCCCACCGGCCCGCGCCCCACGCTAGAGCCCGCCGCGGTCAGCATCCTCGTCCCCAGCGGCGGTGGCGGCGGAGTCCAACTGCCCTCGGCACAGTCACGGTCGATGTGTCGCCCCCGCGCGTGCGCTGCGCCACGTGATGCTCCGCCCCGCCCCCTAGCCCGCCTCGGTCTCTTCCGGCCCCGCCCCCTAGCATCCCTGCAGCCCAGGCCAGGGTTCCCTGGGGCCCCAACCTGAGCAGTCCGCCTTACTAGGTGTGCTTCTTCCCAGGCTGCTTCTTGTCCTGTAGAGTATGTGTGAGTTTTAGCCAACTCAAATCATATTTTACTTTGACCAGTGTGCAAATTATTTGGAGTTCAAATTATTTGAAGTTCAAATTATTACTTTCAAAATAACCTCCAATGACAAAAAAAATAAAATAAAATAAATTTCTTTAAGAAAGGTTGATGCCCCTTCTTAAAATAGACGCACAGCCTCTGTGGCTTTCGGGACTTATAGAGCCCAGGGCCCGGGAGCAAGCTACAAAAGCCGCAGACGAAAGTCTAATCCCAAGAGATGTTCCTCCTGATCTCGCGGAACTAAGCAAAACTGAGATGCTGATTTCTTACCTTAGTGAAAAATTCTGAATCTTTCCCACTCTGACACCTATTTTCTGACTCATCCACCATCTTTTTGTTTAGTCTGCGGGCTTATATTAAAAGGTGTTTCCAATAAATTTCCCTAGACTCAAGTGGTTTGACTTTTGCTTTCATATCATTCTAACTTGGATCAAGCTTAGTCTGGGAAACTGAGAAGTGCCTTTTTACAATGCTTCTTCATTCAGTGAGCATTATAAAATGTAACAGCTTAGTGACCAAAAAATAATAGTTTTACCTACAAATCGGCAGTAGAGTTTTAACTGCAGGTCGTAAAACTTAAACCACAATCTGTAAAGATCGCGTATATTTTCATGTTTTGTGCTCCTACTAAGAAAGTGATTTTGTACCCCAGTTAAGCCAACCCTAAACAGGCAGACTGTTTAGAATATTAAGTGATTTATCTTAATGCACATTCTGTCTTATATCCCTATTTTTTTTAATGTATTTTACTACCGGGACTGCAGTATCTCACTACACAGATCGGACTCAGAGTAATCGTTGTTTTTTCAGCCTCCCAAACACTGGGATTATGGGCATGGGCCACCACACCCACTCTCAGTCGTGCCTCATGGGGTGTGTTGGGGGTGGCACTGCGTGCTGGGATCGAACCCCAGGCCCTGTGCCTATCTAAGCAGGCTCTTTAGTCCTCTAAGCTATTTGGCCGACCCTCTAACATATTTTTAAAGGATGATTTTTTTAAACCTAGATTGTTCTATACATATTCAAGGCATTATCTGACTTACCCATACTACTTGTAAATGTTATTTTGGACACTTCTTTTGATATTCAGGCATAGAGAAAAAATAGCTTGTGAAAAAGTTATGGTACCTCTTAAAACGATCCTGTAGCCCACCTTCTGAGGCCTCGCCTCATACTAGGTTTCACCTTTTCCCTCCATTTAAGACTCTACCGGTGGAATTCGTGGTGGTCTTCCAGTGTTGTTTGCCCCCCTTTGATAGGTAACCTGTCTCTGCTGTTCTCTTTCATTCCTGCAGGTATTGCTGATCTCTAGGGAACATTATCTCCATAAGAATGAGAAAAATGACACTGCAGGACGGAATGGTAGTGTTAATGGGTCACTGAGTGACAGCTGAGCCTTTTCTCAGAGGTATTGGCCAGGCGAAGGCTGCCAGAAACACAAAAGCTATCCAGTAAAGTGTGCCAATTTAATCTTGTCACACGTAGTCTGGGCTGTGAAGATAGAGCTCCCCTTAGACGCCCAGCGTGACAAGGCTAAACCCGACCATGCCAGAGGGCAACATGCAAAGATGCTAATTGGAAAATACCTATGCCACCAGCTCCCCTTGAAGATGGCCCTTTTTCCACAACAAACTCTTGATAAGATGATAAATAATAAAATGCAAAACTTCCAGGGAACTTTGGACATAGGTTTTCCTATACATTCTAACTTCAACTTAAAGATGTATGGCTGGAATTGGATTTGCTAAATCACATCTCAGTTAAACTGACTCATCTTGGTGATGAGTTTTTGTGCTTTATCTCCAAACCTACCCATATTTTCAAAATAAAATTGAGATTTTCAGACATCACTGTAAAAGTTTAAGATAATCCCAGGAGCTGCAGAGCTGTTGATCCTCTTAGGTAGGCAGTCTGGCCAGTGACGCTGTTCTTCTCTTGGAGAGAACGCTTTTCATCTGACACTGTTCCATACTGTATTTGTTACTACGAACTGAGACGACATTGCATATTCACCATTGAAATGTTTGTAGTTAAATTCCCCATGAATTTGAAGTTCTTAATATCAAAGCTTTTAATCTGCTTGAAATGAAAGAAAAACAGGTGAATATTGTTTTATAAGGACAATGACAGATTTTACATTTAATTAATAGAAAACCTAATAAAAGCACAGCCCATGATTAGCAGTGATTTGTGCCAGTGTGACAGAATTTCACATTTCTTCTGCTGGTTGATCCTTGAGGCATTCTGGAGTTACATTGAAAGATAAATAGCATGAGTAGCATGCAGATACTTTTAAGCAAGAGAATGTTGTGAAAAAAGATCAGTTGGTATGTTTAAAGGATATTTACATTTCCACAGTAATCATTGTGCCTTTTCCCCAAATGGTAAGTGAAGAAAGCTGTTAACATAGTGAATGTGTTTTAGAAAAATAATATCAGATGTCCTCCTCTTTCTATGATTACTATAAAAATACTTTTATAGCTGTAAGATTTGGCAGTTAAGAATGATGAGTAAGAAGTTGTTGCAAAAATTAAGATTTATATATAATTCAAAAATAATTCTTCCCATTTGGTCTGTTACTTTATCATCTCCGTTGGAGAAAAAGAAAAATGTCAATGTCATATATTTGGCAAAATAAAGACAATCAAGCAAGGTATCTAATATTACAATAAAGGATTCTACTTCAGAACACACTGAAAAGCTCAAACCTAATAATAATAATAATGTTCTGTTTCTTATCCTTACCCAGCCATATTTCTGAAAAATTGCTAAGTAAAATTCAGGACAAACTACCATAAAAACAAGACATGACTAGAAATGAGAGGAAAAATGAGTGTGTCTTACTCAACCCAGATAATAATGGTTTGAGAAAAGGAAGGCTATTCTGGTTTGGTTTTTGAAGTACCTCAGGGATGAGGAGAATGATCCAAATCTTCAGGCTCAAGTGCCCTATGCCCTGTTCCTAGGGTTTTGGGGACAAGAATCTACAGATAGAAAGATATCCTAAAATACAGCTATGAAAGAAAACTTCTACCATGTTAATTTGCTGTCTTGTTAGACCTGTTAATGACTATGGTCAAGTGAGAGAAGAAATGAAACTTCCACAATATGATCAGATTTACTGTGTTTTATTGTCTCAACCAATAGAGAAGTAGCAGAGGAATCGAGATTTTGAACTGAGTTTCACATGGTAGTTTGAATTTGTGTAGCCACAGTTGCTTTCAAAATAAAAAATTATCAATTCAATAAATGTGTCTGGCTAAAGAATTTAAGGAAGCCCAACTCAGATTTAAGTCCATTTATATCTACTTCAGGTTTTTTTTCTTTACATTTGTCAGGAAAGTATTTTGTTCAACAAATTTTAATTCTCACAACTTGTTTCAAATTCTGTAAATACACGTACACTAGTTCTCAGTAACCTTAATATTAATAGAAAGTATATGTGAAATGTGATTATAACAATAAACTTTATATAGCAGTAGGAAATGGGGACTTTTCTGTGACCAGTTTTGTGTAATATATTTATTTCCTTGTAACTATACTACTTTTGTTATTTTCTTTATAAAGGCTCTCCAAAAAAAAAACTTTTCTTCTAATGACTTTGGGTAGAATATTATGTTTCTAGTAACCGTATGCCTATATGATAGCATAAGGAGAACATTAACTTCTTTATAGTTTGCTATTTGGGAGAAGACCTTAGTATCATTAAAGTGAAAAGAAATACTGGCAAAATTCCATGGTCCTGCTGCCCCCTAGATGGGAGTGTGAGCAGTACACTTGCTCAAAACACATCTGAGGCTGAGGAGCAAGGCACTAGGTACCTTGCCTTAGTTCCACCTACCGTTGAGCACATCTTTGATATTTTTGCCTTATGCTGTATCTAAGCTGGGGCACAGTGTTTCTTGTCTGAGCCTTTACTTAGATGCTATTGATAGATCCCATCCTAACAGACTCTCAGTAGATCCTCATAAATATGTGTTGACACAACATGAAATCTTTCTTGGCAAAATAACACTTGTAATAATGATAAAAGTTGAGGTTATTGTATGTATTACTTTGAGATATGAGACAGTCTTGCCCATGCCAATCAGGCACGTGATGGACACGTGTCTCCTTGATGGTGACACAGCGTTAACAGCATCTGCTCAGTTGAACCTCACAGGGCCAGGCAGTGATCATTCAGATTCCCACTTTTCAAAGCCTAAGGATGTGCAAAATTATACACCAGTAGAAGTAAGCTAGCAAAGTAGCTATTCTCTACTTATTTATCACTGTAGATGGGCACTTTCTTCTACAAAGCCCTTTCTACACTAGACAACAGAAGTACCAGACATTCAATACAATTTTTCTCTTCCTGGGCTGTGTGGTGAATTTGCCTAGATTTTCTGGGACTGCTTAAAGAAAAGGACACATCAGCACTAAATGACACAGGCAGCGACACATAAGCAGCTGTTATAGAGACAATAAAACTAATGTATCGCATGCTAGGCAGTGCTTACAATGACAGTTTGTCTTTATTAAGATCAAAGATGAACAAATTAAAAATAGAGTACTGCAGTCAAACTGCAACACACAAAACAACACTTTAATTTTGTAAAGTTGTGCAGTCTTTAATCTGGTACTATAGCAAAGCTGAAAAGTCACACTGGGAAATATGAAAATCAGAACCTTATAATTATGCAATACATTATGAATATGAATGCAGCTTCTCCAAGCAACCTAAGACAATGCAGTAGATGTTTTATGGA